TTTTACAAGCTGGATTTTTCTTCTAAATGACTCCACTCATGCATTTTTCCCCCCGACACTTTGAATGCGAAAATCACGCCACACACTACGTCCATCGGGTTTAAGTGCTTCTACGCAACTGATTTCGGGCTGCTTAAAGCTCGCATTGAGAGCAGACAAATTTGTTTACTAAAAATAGACTTGCGCTTTGCATTCATTATTAAAGCAAGCACATGTTTTTGTTGTTAGCCCTACACTTGGCGTACATTTGTCGTCGTTGTTGTTGTCGTCATTGTTGTTGTCGTCATTGTTGTTGTTGTTTTTGTTGTTATTATTCTTGTGTTCTTACAGTTCATTGCAGTTCCAATGATTTTGTTGAATATTAAGCATACTTTGAACAAATGCAAATGTGTTTAATTGTTTTTGTTTACAAATGAATGATAAAGCTACAGCATTGTGTTTACCGCACCCGCTTCCTCTTCTTACACAGCGTGCACGGCATCTATAATTGCTATAAAATTCGCATGAAAGCATAAAAGCTTTCTTTGCTTCTTGAAGAGACAAAATATTACATTTATGCCGTTGATGCTTTCTCACACTTCTCCTCTCAGCGAATAACACTTTTCCTTGCTTCATTAAAACATATGTTTTGTGTTTAGGGTCTTCTGCTCTTTGGGAGCCCTCTTATAAACTCAAAAAAGTAATCTTTCTGAATTTCATTATTATGTTTCCATGGAGGCAAATATAAAAATGCAATATAAAAAAAAAAACAAGTGTAAACAAAATAATTTTATTTCGACATCTGTTATGATTTGTTACACATTTTGGGGAACTTCTAATGTTAAATTCTATGCATTTTGTTTAAAATAAAAATAATTATAATTTTATATACCTATAAGATTTGCTAATGGAAGACAATTTAGTAATGCGATTTATTTTCACTGTAATAATGTATAAAAAGTTTTTACGATATATTAAGTACTACTATGGGCGTAACTAGGGTGTTTTGGAGAAGAGGAGTGGTGATAGACTTCAAGAAATCTTTCTTAACAACTATTGAGTAGTGATAAAAAGGTTATAGTGTTGAAGTAATTATATCCATTATTTAAAATTAGTAATAATTCAAGTTGTTTTTTCTTAATTTTTATTTTTAACAATAATAAATTAACTAATAAGCCTGTGGCCATACTATATTTAAAATTTGATTGGTCTTAAAATAATAATTATTCAAAGTATTCGGGCAATTCTTTTATTAATAAGAGTAAAAATAAGTATAATTTTACTAAAACACTAAACATTATATATAATTAGAAGCTGTTTTGAGTTAAGTTATAGCAAATATTATTATTGACAATTCCAATAAACGAAGTACTGCATTATTGAAGCATAAATTGAATATAATTAGTCTTCATAACTTTATCAGGCACAAAAACTAGGCCAAGTGTTTGCTATATGTTCAGGTCATGTAATATTTCGTGCACAGTTCTATACATATTACTTAGAGTAAACCACCCTACTACCAAACAGTAAATGAAATCGGCACCTATTCTATCTGATATAGAATTTGGCGTATTATTTTTGTCTACTTTTAATTCGCGTTGGCCTTTTCTGTTTATTATAAAAAACTACTCAATCGGTTTTCCAAGGGATTAAAGCAAAATAAAATAATTTATAAAAAAATATTCTTAAGAACTAATTTGCACATCATAAACTTACTGACAGATATTGTACGTGACTGGTTAGATAGAACACTTAAGTTGTGACTGTGGCGTGTGGCAATAGCAAAAGCTGTCTCAAGTTTCTTTTTATATAACTTTTATTTAAGATTATGACTGTAATAAGAATTTAACTAATCTTCTGTAACCATACAATTTAAAAGATAAAATACTACAATGTACAAAAGGGTATAAATTATGTTTAAATATATATGAAACTGGAGTCCATATGAAAATATTCAAAGGAACTTAACCATTTCAATTTATGTTTGTTTTTAAAGATTTAAATTATCCGAAACAAATTTACCTCATGAATATTTGTATGAACAGTTGTTTTTGTTTATACTTGTGACATCTTTCCACAACCTTCTGTTCACACTGAAGTTTGAAGTGTGCAACACTCTTGACAGCTCTTGATATTCACACATGCAACAGCAATTTTATGTGCAAATTTATGTGCCCGAAAATGTGATACCGCCAGGAAGTCATACTTTGCTGTTATTTTGCAGAGACAATTTAAATATATAGTAACTTTAACAGATTTTACAAATGAATACTCGGTATTAACAAGCCATGAGAATGGTGTGGTATATATTTGGTCTGAAGGGTTAAAAAAACATTTTTATTAAATATTATATTATATTAAATATTGTTATGTATTAATCAAATATTATATATTCATTTTATGCATTCATTTTAAACTACATTATAATATTAGGTGTGAACCCGTACTTTGCAAGATGTGGCTTCAATACTCAAATATTTTACTCCTCATGTTCTTTCAAATGATTTTTGTTATATATGCCTTTCTTATCATATTAAAATTAAAATTAATTTAAAATTAAAATCAATTAAAAAAATCGCATTCAATTTAATTAAATAAAATTAATAATATTTTAAATCAAATAAAAATGTAGAAAGTTAACAGATGTTAATGGTGTCCTTCTTTTTTAGACGTTTGTAACTTTTGTTCAGTAGCAGCTTGTAAGCTGATTGGTTAGGATGATCTTCTAACTTTAAGAGTTGCTGACGGCTATATCGAGCAGCTTCTTCTATTACTGTTGGTACGCTCAAATCTCTATGAAGGTTAGCATTTTTCATAAACCACGGTGCACCTGTTATCATTCTTAGGGTTATAGATTGCAGCCTTTGCAGTTTTTCAATATTTGATGGCATCGCTGTTCCCCACAGTTGAATTCCGTAAATCTATATAGGTTTTATTATCGACTTGTATAGCAGAATTTTGTATTCAAGTGGTAGCTTAGATGACGTACTCATAAGCCAATGCAATGAACTTAGTTTCATATTTATTTGCATCTTTTTAGCCTCTATGTATTTGTTCCAGGTTAAACGTCTATCTAGATGTGCATTTATTACTAATTATCTATCAAATATATCATATATTTTTCTTTGAGATTTAGGTCAAGTTAAAGAAAAACAAAAAAATGATGTAGATTACCCGGTTGCACCAACTTAATTCAGACGTTTATTTAGACACTTAGATGCGATGGAGGCAACCATCAATTAATCTGTGAAGATATATGAGGCCATTGATCCTAAAGACATTGAGTTGATACTGCCAAATTAGAATAAAAAGCTTCCTCGTTCAAGCGACAGTAAGCAATAAATCTTTTAAGTTTCTACTGTTGCTATTTTATTTATATTTTGTTAAAAAAATTAAATTTATTTTTAATGATTTTTAGCAAACCTAGTTAACAAAATCAGCTTAATTGAAGCTGAGCTTTTTAAAATTCTTAAATTATTCATATTATAACAAATTTTTGACTATCAAGTTTCATAATATAAATTTAAAAAAACACAAATGGTCAAAAAACCTCATTATTCATGTACCATAATATGTTTTATATATAATATGTAAATAAATAAGCTATTTCACATGCATAAATCAGCTTATGCCAATGAAAACGACCAAATCCTAATTTCATTAACATAAGTAGTTTATGCTGTGGTGGAAACATGATAAACGATCAAATTCGATAATAAAAATTCTTTTGTATGGTGGCAACCCTAAGTATTGAAGTTTATTAAAAATTATATATATAATGTTTCGTCTCTTTATATACAGATTACTTAGTATAATGAAATCCAGCAGATCAAAAAAATACTTCAGTAAAAAGTGGCAATCCTAAATACTGATTGTAGCTTTATAAAGAAATCATGTACGAGTATCATATATATAATGTAAGCCTTTATAATTGATAAAAAGGCTAAAGTGAAAATAATAAAAGCTTATAAATTAGTTTTTATTTCTGTTTTTATTATTATATAGTATTCTATATAACTACCGCCGGCGTTTCGAAGTTTGTTAAATAGAAATAAAAAATAAAATAGAATAGAAAAAGTAGAATAGGAAAAAATTATTCGTTATTTCCGAATATTTATGCTTTTTCGAAAAACTTTTCCTGTTTTTTTTCTAATCCGAATATTAATAAGTAATATTTTTTAAAAAATGGACTTATTAATAAAAAAAAAAATAATTATTATTATATTCATTAAGCACATAGTCACATAGTCACGATTTTTGAAGTCACTATAAAAATATATAATCAACAATATGTAAAAGGAAAAAAAACAAATAAGAAAACTATCTGAATACAATATATATATTAATAAAATAAAATTTTGATGTTAAAATTAAATCAAATAAACAAATAAGTATATATTTATTTGTATTATTAATTTACATATATAAGTAAAATAAAATTTTAATGTCAGAAAAAAATCAAATTAACAATATACATTTATTTGGATTTTTTTGTTTTTTTAATGACATTACATCCCATAATACTACTATTAAATTAATAATAATATAGTATTATAAAATATATGTAATATATAATACATATAATTAAATATATATACATATATTTTATATATTATATTTAACGTTTAATATATACATTATTACAAGAGTCGGTATGTCACTCTATTGATTAGATTTAATAAAAGATATCTACCGATCCTTTAACTTGATTTTTATTACATCAGCATGTTACTCCTCCTATAAAAAAAAAATGAGAAGAGAGGAGACCGTAGTGAACTTCACTCAATTTTCAAATAGAAAAAACATTACAGCTCAATTCAAGCTTTCCCAAATTCTTCTGATTAGCGCGAGTCAGTTTAGATCAGTTCGTCTGTGAAAGTGGAGGTGTAGTTCTTTTCTTTGAATTATAAGAAGCACCGTTAAATTACCTTTCCTTAATATCTAATAAAATTTAGTATTTAATGATATCAAGTGCTTCATTTTTTTTTTATAATTTAAAGTGATATTAAATTTTGTTTTTTATTTATAAAATCCAAGAACCATAAGATTAAATAACTGAAAATATTGCTATTTGTAAGATTGCAAAGAAGTGTCTAAACAAACCAGAAAATTAGACAGGTAAGGAATTATACTAGAAATGTAAAGTTTAGAATTGAAATGTAAGTTTAATAAAAAAAAGTGAATCATGCCAACAAAAAATGAAACTATTTCATTTCAATAAAAACAGCGGGCCGTTATCAGCGAAGTGCCGGCTTCAGAGAACTGTTAGACACGATCTCACCCGCTGTCTACAGAGTTCAATGTCGAAGAGTCTACAATAAGTTTTTTTAGTTTTTGTAGTTCTCGTCGTTACCGATGGCTTTAACTGTACACTCGAACGGAATTCAGTTACTTTAATATATAATTAAATAAAAATTATTTGCAGTGCGAAAATCATTAGAATTTTTTCTTAATTTTATTTTAAAATTAAATACGATTTTACCGCTTTCCAGAGTTGTTGTCTCAATGCAGCGGCGCCGCCCGGTAGCGCCATGCCGTGCTCAAGGTGTGCGGCGGAAACTTGAACGGCATTTTTTAATTAATTTTGATTTTGGATTGGATTGGATTCTTGAGTTTTTGTTCAATTTGAATTATTATTAAAATAAATATGCGAATGGAATCAAGTCTTAATTTCTTTGTGCTCGATACACTTTGATCTCTGTGACAATTGATAATTTCTTTTTAATAATTTTTGCTTGTTTTGTGTGCAATGAAATAAGTGCTAAATATAAAATTAAAATTTATTGCATTTTGCAAAACAAACATATTTTTTGCTTTTATGTTTTTGTACGGTTCTGCCTCAATTTAGAAGCCATCTTGTTCTTCACAACGATGCATATATGACGTACGTATGTAAAGACTGAGATCCATACGTGCAGATAATTCAACGTATATATCACAATATGAAAAATGTCGGTGGGCAAAAAATTTAGTGCAAAACTTCGGAGCCTTTAAGGATCCATGATAATAGTGCAAACTGCTAGCCATGGAGAAAATACCCTGTCTTTCATGCCTACTGCACGAGCTATAATCCTAATGTACTAAACTAACACTCTTCGATGGATGCATTGATGCCATTTATGATCATAATATTTCCTAATATTCTTAATAATTATGGACAAGGAAACCTGTGCAGTTGGGTACATTTCTTATTCATTTTTGATTATATTTTAGAGTTTCTTCTAAACTAATTTATATATTGACGCATATTTTCACAATCTCATAATCTACTGTATGTGTAATGTACGTGACAGCCCTAACCTATGTCTTAAATAAAATCCTTGATGTATGCCTTAACTTCTTTTCTCGTCAACTTCAAAAAGACAGTTTTTTTTCTTAAGTTTTATAATCTTGGATCTTAATATATATATATATGTAACCAGTTCCTTTGAAAACTAAGCTGTTGCAGAGTATGTATATATGAACAGTCGTTTTGTCAACATATCTGAAATATGGGGCGAATAAGATTTTTTTATGGTTCCCTTCTTTAAATACTGCATTGCCAGTATTATACCCGTTGCCTCTAAAAGGTGAGTAGTTCCTACCATAGAAATTTAAAGAAATCTTGACTAATAGTCATAATGTTCGCATTTCTTATGAAAACAGACAATATCATTGGTTATAGTAAGAACTACTCAATACTTTTACACGTCATCTTCAGTCATCTTCATATTTATGGTTTCATAAATATTCTTCACGCAGCGGCATTTATAAGTGAATAATGGTAGGTGAATGGAGTATCTTTGTCTACTTACTAACAAAATTTCACCGAACTTATTTGTTACTTAACTATGACTTGAGATCTTGTGTAATGTCGTTTTGTATGCATCGTTTAAAAGACCAATATGAAACAGAGAGAGAGAGGGTATGAAATATAATACTATATTCCGTAAATTTAGTAAAAACAACGACATATTGAAAAATATATACAGGTAGCAATGCATGTCTCACATATATATTTTGCCTTGGTTTGGACGACGGTCATAATGGGCACGAAGTTAAAGGTAACAACCGATATTTAACTCGAAAGACTATTCACAACATTCCAAAACATTCTTGGAATTTTGTCGTAAAGAAAACTGAAAGCACGAGAAGCATGCTTCATTCAATTTTGGACGAAGATTTGAGCCAATGGAAGATTTGTCAGTGCTTCATAACATACACTCTGATAAACTATCAAAAAGATAAGGGAAATTAGTATCATGAAAATGTATGAAGAAGGAATTCGTCAACCGGGTCAACCGGATCAACCATTGTAACTGACGGTGAAATGTGCTGTTTTTAATTTGATTCGAAAACAAAACTTTCTAATAAGATCGGAAAATAAAGTGCGGCCCAAAAATCACCAAAAGACCCAAAAACGGAAAAATTCAAATTCAGAGCCAGTAAAATTAAAACAATTGTGAGAATATTTTCCAATCCAAATTGAATGGTGTATTCGCCTCAGAAGGTAAAATGGCTGTGGTGTTAATAAAATATTGACAAGTGGAGGGACTTATTTGAAAATATTTTTTATTGAACGCTTTTTAATTATAATAAGAGCTTGTAGCAATCTTATTATAAAAATACTAGTTGTTGATTGTTGATATGCAGATGTCTGAGTTGGTGATTCATCACCTCAACTCTATTATATCTGTGAACAGTTTCAAGTCACACTAGGAATATCTGAATACGGGGCTTTATAATATGATGAATTTAATGTCTTTGTATCTGCCTATGTTTATCAGATTTCGCTGTATTTTTAGGTTGCTGAGTGATTGTCAATATTTGAATATATTTTTCGACTGAATCGATTCTCAGATCTCTGTGGATATCCGCTCCTCTTACGTACCATGGGACGTTAACCAGTTTTCTTAAGGCGATATTTTACCAGTATGTATATGAATACAGATATATATATATACAAGATAGTATTTTTACTGGTTTTATTTTTAAAAGTATTATTCACATATACGCTTTAATCAAAGAATAAAGGGGAAGTTTAGGACCGGGAATACATAATTGCAAGACAGTTAATAAAAATATAAGCTTGGAGCTCTATAATGATTGTAGGCCAGAGTTCTTGACATTTCAGATAAAATGTTAGAGAGATGTTAGAGAAGAGAGAAAGCTAGCCAGTTAGTTTCCTTATCCTCGCAATAAGTAATTATGGTGCGGAAACAAAAAGTATTTCATTTTAATACGAATTGATTGGAAGCCATGCGACATCTGACTATTCCCTAAACTTAATTAAAGGATGAAAGAAAATTATTTTAATACCATGCCGGTCATCCAAATGACGGACTAAGATTTTAAATGCACTGATTGACTATAAAAAATACTTCGAAAAATTCCTCAATATTGTTATGTTGAATCTGGAGCTATTTGTGTAGTACTTTTTAGAGGTGGTAGTTGCTTTTGGAGGTGGTCTTTGAAATTCATGAATGGCTACGGGAATTAGAGCCGGCCGTTCTTGGAACTCTTTAAAATTCCTCAATCGTCTCGAGTTTTCAGTTTCACTGCGTGGAATCCAATTCAGACTATTCAGAATAAATCAGAATAAAAAAAATTAAAATAAAAACTTTGTATATATCTCATTGGATATACGACACACATATACACTGAGTATACGACACCCATAATTTGAGTAAAAATATCTTTAAAACTTTCATGGCTCTGGTTAATGTGAGCCTAACATATTATATTAAAAAATAATTGTTTAATATAAAACGAAATTATGAGCTTCTGATTTTTTAAAGATATAGTATAATGGAAAAAACAGAAAACAGTTTTTGAAACCAAGTTTGCCTTCAAAAATGCTGTAGTAGTGACTAGTTATGTTCTGTTATGAGTTCTTGAATTAGTTTTTATATTTAAGATTAAAAATTTTGTTTTTCAAAATAATTAATTTTAGAAAGTTTTTTTAAAAACAAAAAAAATATGAATTACGTAATAGTTACCTTAGGACCCGATTTGATATTTTTAAAAATAGGTCAAAAATCACTAAAATAAATTTCCAACAAATTGTCTTATAATCACAACAACAACTACAAAAAGTTCTGTTCAAAGTATAGTTTCCGATTCACTTAAGATTAGAATAGTTGAGTACAGGTTCTGGTAATGTGTCATGAAAAAAATGTTCTCAATAATTTAATTATATTTTGCTAGACATTTCAAAATAGTATTTTGTTCACATGTATAAATTGTATAATATCAATACTATATATTTATATATATACCTCTATATATACAGTATATATTAGTTTGTATATTTGAATCGAAGCTGATAAGACTAAGAAATTTAGAAAAAAAATTGCAAATATATGCAATTCAGGATTTTAGCAGACTCACTGATATTCCACTTGTTTTATATTCAAGGTAACTTATAGCTAAACAGCTTTGGGTAAATATGGTTAATGATCCTAAAATGGATAGAAATAAGAAAACACACGCCCAGACAAACCAAGGACAATCCGATGAAGATCGGGTGGAAGAAATTGAAATCATAACTCGCCACGGCATCTACAATAAGGTCTACGAAATGGCAGAGAAGTTTGCATCAACTTACGTGGGTCAGTTCGCCATTGATCGTGGCGATCGGTTATTAAAGACGGTGGAAGAAACTGCAAAGTGGAGTTTGCCACATAGTAAGGTGTATTTGGATATTTTCTATTTTTATAAATTAATTTGCATTTTATTTTTATTTTAGACAAATCTGATGCAAAACTTGAGCGTCCTTTGTCATGGTTTCCTTTCTTGTCACTTATAATCACTCTGCGTTTGACACGCATGTGGCTATCGATAGCAGCTTTAATGATTGGAAATTCTCCAGTGACACCGCAAAACATGGTTTACTTTATACAAACAAGACGTCGCAAGTTGAGGGCTATTCGCATGCATGGCATAAAAGCGATACGTAAGCGGGAAATGGAGGCAAATGCTATGAAGTCGGGTCAAGGAAGAAGAGGCATCATGTTTAAGCTGAGAAATTTATTATCTAGCGCTATTTGCCGTCCAGGGCAGCATAACGAGCGTGCCAGACGTATTTATGTGCAGTATGGCAGGAAGAATTCGGTAGAAGATGTGAGTTTTGAATACTATTTATAGTCACATAATTATATTAATGGTAATTCCATGACTTTTTACAGTCCAAACCTGAAACGCAACAAGCCGTGAAACGTCCTAGAGAGGAATGCAATGAACAAAACGAAGAAAAACCCGAACTAAATCTTACTTGCAGTGAGTTACTCGATAAATATGCGAATGAAAATTCGGATGATGATTCAGACTTTATTCCAAATCCAAACGAGGATGCGGATGACTCAACTTCTAGTAGCGCGGAAGGCACATCAGGTGAAACTGAAGTTGAATCGAATGCGGTAATTTTGGAATAAATATTTTTTTATGTTTCCCAATTAACATCTTAACTCAAGTAGGATCAACATACTAATGGAAACTCGAAGAACATAGAAACCGAAAAGAATGAGGGTGACAACTTAAATATAGAATTTTTGCAAAACGGTGCAAAAGAACATGATATGCCAAAGCCCATAATTGATATAAAGAGCGAGCCTCACTCAGAAGGCGATCAAGTGATTACACAGAAGGAAGCGAATGGACCCAGTAATGGCGAGGAAAAACAGGATGTGGATGTCGGTAATGGATATTGATTTAGTCTATATTTAACTTAAGTACACAATTGAATACGAATTAGAGCGAATAAGTTGAATTTAAATTTTTATTTAAGTACGGAATCGAATTTGAATAAGAAAACTTAAACCAAATGAAAAATCTTTTCTTTTTTATGTCGCACACTGCAAACCGTTAACAAAATTCAAAATTACCGATTTAAAATTTTGGCATTCTTTTACATTTTGAATATGTATTTTTAATTGCGATCTCTCAACAGTTAAGAAAGTAAATATTGCCATTAATAATAATAAAATTTTGCAATTGTCATCCAACTCTAAACACCACCAACGCGAACCTGAAAGTGCCGATGTAGCGCACACGGTCAATATTACTGCACTTATGGGTGAGTGTCCGACACAGATATTATTATATATACAATTCAAGATAATAACCACTTAATGTTAGTATTTTGTTTTTGTTTCTGTTATTCCTTTCATATCTTCAACCAACACCCATCCTTTTAATTCCTCATACATTTCCCTTATCATCACAGATCCTTTACAAAATTCTACACATTCCTCATCCAACTCATCTCTAGATTCCTTTAAAACCAGTGATGAAATATATATTAATGAAATTGAGAGTGAATCAAGCTCAACTGCAACATATACAGAGTCAACTTCAGCTAAACCAGAGTACACCAGACTGAATTCCGCTTCATCTTCCGAAGACTTGTTCTATAGCCCAATCGGTTTGTTTAAAATACAAAATTTTCCTTAAAATTGGTTATCACTTCTCTCATATGAAAACATCTCTTCAATTGTGTCCACGCCTTGCATGCACTTCGCTCTTTCGTCTTTAAAGAACTGCTTACCTCTCAGTTACCATGAAGCATTAGTCGTTAACTTCTCTCATAAAACAATATTTCATTTCATTCGCTTAGGTAATAACATCTTCAACCAATAAACTCAACGTTTTCTTCATTTTAAGGATCGCCAGCAGATTTTAAAACAACATTCCAACCAGTTTCCATATTAAAGAATTCAAATGCTGCACAAGGAAATCAAAATATGGGTGAGAATATAGCATGGAAGAAGAGATTATTAGTATTTGTAACGTAAATATAACTTTATATTATTACAGCTCATTCTACACCCCAGTCTAGTGAAGAAAACGAAAATAATTTTCATTCTGTGAAACCAACAAAACTTCCTCAACACTCGTCAACTCAGAGACCTCACCAAAATAATACTTTTCAACAGAGATATCGTGGAAAGAATAGACGTTAAGCTTACTCCAATATTTTATTCTTTTTTACATATACATATACATATACGCTGGTCTATATAAGTTCAAATTGTTTAAGTAAAACTTGAAATTTTTATAATCCTATTCAGAAAGTCTTTATAAAACATGAAATTTAAATAAAAGAAAAAAATGGAAAAATACTTTTGGAATGTCTTAAGCCACAGGAGCTTATATTTTTTTTTATTTTTTTTTTTGTACATTAAAACAGAAGAGTCGACATGGTAAGTTCGAAATTCATCGTTCACTGATCCTGAGAATCGAACACATTGCTCCTTACTCCTTGGGCTTGCGCCCTCCAATCCATGAGGGCACTTAAAAAAATACATAATATTAGAAAAATATAGTAAATGTTTTATAGAGATACCATATTTTCGTAACATTTCACCTTTCAAATCAATAAATCCACTTTATGCAAAACATATAAACATATAAAGTTAAAAGTTAAGATAAGGTGGCCCCAATGTAGTTTTCAAACCTTTAAGTTTTTATGCGATTGTCAGATTGTAATTCTGACAATAGGCTTAAATGGAATCCTAAGATGTTGTAAACAGCTGGGATCTGAAAAGTAGACAACATGACAGGATTTACATGACATAGGATGTGGATACGTGATAGTTGTTAGTGAGTAGAGAGGGTTATTAGGCAGTAGGGTATAGATTGGAATTGCGTGGGGTTTACATTGAAATTCAGACGGACAAACTTGACCACTTCAATTAGGTGCGTCCAAATGTTGGACGGAGGTTTATATGTGTAGGGGGCAAGAGAACAAATGGGTGACGTCTTGGAAGGTAGAGCTGTAGATCGGGCACACATTAAGAATATACGTATTTAGTTCTGATCTCAATTGAACTAGGACAGTTCTTGCGTCACGGGATAGTTGTCATGGGGGCCTGTTAAGAGCCTTGTTATATGTCGACCTTGGTCTCGAAGAGGATACTGCAACTGTGTAGAAGGTTAGAAGATTTATATTTAACTCCACTGTTGTTAGCTCCATTGTAAATAAATCTACGTTAAGAGAGGTATCGACAAATGCTTTTTGGAGGAAGGGCTCTACTGAACATGGCGCAATTGAGATGTCTATCTGTGTGAACCTAACCTAACTTAAAGTATAAAATAATTAATCTTCATGGATTGAGGTGTAATTTATTATTTCTGATATATTAAAGAGGGACATGCTATTTTTCTTTTAAGATGAAAAATAAGATCAATTTTAAGCTCACCTTACTTACTTAATGCTTTCGTACACGATTAATTTATCTGATCAGTGTAATTATACTGAGTCTAATGTAATTTTCATTATTGCAGTCAATGTTAAAAATAGTGGGGAAAAATTGTTCAAAATTCTTTAATAACCCGTGACCAAGTGAAGGTACCCGAAAAATTGGAGTCGGTTTAAAATAATACTTGGCATCTATTATTAAATTACAACCATGAATGACCTTAGCCACCGGCTACGAATAACATAGCGTACCAGCAATTTACATTTACTTTCGATGTAGTTTTTGACAGTGACATTAATAATTTTAAAAAATAGTTTAATAGTTTGCTATATCTTAGTTCAGAGTTTCGCAACTTTCGGATCGCTACAGGTCCGCGTCATTGACACTATCGTTCCGTAAAATATTCCTATTAGTCCTTGTAAAGCACATTACTGGCTTTGTACTTTAATTGTTCCTAGTAATATATATGAAAATTTTTCTGGTCTGCAATAGGTCTTGGATTTATGAACAGTGCTTTGGTTAATAATATATGAAAATTTTTCTGGTCTGCAATAGGTCTTGAATTTATGAGCAGTGCTTTGGTTAATGCTATATATTGAATGTAAAAAGTATACTTCATTAAGTAAGTTGAGAAGCAGATATACGTCACCACTCGGTTCACTGAATTGTTTATAGTAAATTTCATCGAATTCTAGGTTTTTGCCAAATTATAAGATATATTTTAAAATATAATATAAATATAACAAATGCATATAGAAATAAAAATTGATATTATATATATATAAATTAAGCAATTATTTTTTAAATTTGTTCAAACTTGAAGTCCAAATTCCCATGTGGAAGCAGAACAATGTTGCTTATATATTTCAAATCCTGCTTACTGTTCCATGTGATTCTATAATTTCGTATTAATCTCGCGAGTAAAGTTTCGATTTCCATTTCAGCAATGCGTTTTCCAATACATGTACGTGGTCCAAATCCAAAGGGTAAATAGGTAAAAGCATTGGTTGACTTTGCCATTGGACAAGCATTTTCTCCCGACTTCAGCCAACGTTCCGGTAAGAACTCAGCACTTCTCGAATAATATTCTTCTGAATTGGACAAGGCCATTATACCCATTAGCACTCCAGTACCTTTTGGTACCCTGTAACCTGAAAGCACTAAATTTTTAGCAGCCATTCGAAGGTTCCCCGGCGTGATTGGAGTAATACGTAATGATTCCTTGATGCAAGCCCGCAAGTACGGCATTTGCTTAGTGTTCGCTTCAGTTAGCGGCATATGCGGTTGCGGTAAGATTTTGTATAACTCCTCCCGCAAACAATCCTGTTTCGATTGGTTTTTGGATAACAGGTAAAGCGTGGTAACAAAAGCCGATGAGGTCTAGAAATTTCAAACTGTTTCAATTTAATACATATGGATTTCATATTAACTTACCGTATCAATTCCTGCCATTAGCATATCCATTACCATAACAATAGCTATTTTTTTATCCAATCTACACAATTTTTCCAAAACACTTATGGCCTCTTTATTTCCTTCTGCTTCAAACCTTTTCATAGCTGCTTCTATGTAACTTATGGTTATTTCAGTTATGTTTTCATAGGTGCGTATTAAGCGCTTAAAACCAGGTGTCTCCACATATTTCCAAAATGAAGGTGTCACGTCGTACTCGTAGGAATATTGAAACATATCCGACATATTCTTCGCAAGCTTATGTGCGTTTACATCCGGACTCTCACTCAGGAGACCCATACGCGTATTCAGTGCTATGAGACTTATAGACTCGAAGGCCCACATTTTAAGTTCATCATGAAAATTATTGCTCAACATATTGGTTTCGGGATCACGCAATGCTTCTAATCTAAAAAAAACTTTATCAATTAAATTGAAATGTGATTTGGTTCCGATATTTTACTTTATTAAAAATTCGTTGGCGATTTCATCAATTTGTGGTAAATTCTGGCGTACATTTTGTACTTTCATTAATATTGGGTTTACTTTGTTACGTATGTCGGCCCACATCTTACCTTGTCTGAAGTTTTCATTTAATAAATTTAATTAATTTGAAATTTGAGTTAAAGCATTACTTACTCAGATACCAGACCTCCAATTCCTTGAAAAATGTCAGGTCTTTTAACCTTCCGATAATATGTAAAACTGTCCAAACCCAACCTTATAGGCCATACGCCCTCATTTCGATACACATGTTCAACGTCGTTTGCATTATAAGTGAACACATAGTCCGGCTTACCGAGCATTCCTTTAATTCGAAATATATCGCCATATGTGCTGTGCAAGATTGTGTGCATGTCAATCAAATTCGCGTTATGAAGCTTGCCTGTTAGGAAGATGAAAAGGAGCTGGTATATAAACATATTTCTAGAATTTCTGAATTTCTATAATGAAGAAGCTATAGACTTTGACGTATATGCAAAATATTATGATTTAATATATACTATATAATAAAAAGACGACAGTAAATGTTATCGGTAGTTGCAAAACATTTAACGGTAGAACACACACCTAAAAGGAACTACATAAACCCACGCCCGGGGTATCCATGCATCCATTTACACTTTTAGCAAATTTTTATTATATTGTATTCTAAGTAAAATGAAATCGTTTTTTTTTAAAGGTTAATTTAATATTCAAATAAAAATGGAAAGACCTTTTACTGTAAGGTCAATGAATATGTACAAATTGCTGTATATTTGAGAAGAAAGACATTATTTAAATATGTTTGTATCCTTCATAGGGGGATATCCATTAATGAGTTATAAATAATTTACTTCAAATAATTAAAGAATGGTTATAAAACCTTAGTTATATATACCATATATATATGGTGTAGTTAAATTGTCGCAATAATATCAGTACAGAAAATATTTAAATGCTTTCTTAGTCAAGAAATAATGGACATCATTATACGATACACAAAATAGACAGCTGAAAACATATATAAGTCTTCAACGACAAGCATACTATAGTAAGTCTGACGAATTGGTATACTATAGAGATAGCTCAGATTTATGTATTCAAAAAAATTCCCAAAATGATGGACTCAACTCGGAGCCAGAACCTACTCATTATAGCATGGAGTAATAGGAGTTATCCGGTTTTGCTCAATTCTATGCTTCATAAGGTTTGAAAGCGTGAAAACAAAGACTTCGCGCTTACCTAAGCAAACGTCTACACCAATTGTAGTTTTATAGGTATTGTGATAAACATCAACTTTGCTAGATATTATACCATAAGCCGATTGATTAACTCTTGTTTCCAACAATCAATAATTGGTTACACTTTTCGCATTGTATTGATTCATCTGTGTCCGTATTATGCTGCCAAACTTATTAAAATTAAAATAATTTATTATAAAATAAAGGTTCTTTGACTTTCATTAATGTTTATAACGAAAATTATAGAGGAATGTAAAACTCTTGTGAATTGCCATGTAGAAGTTCGATGAATACATGGGTAGCCTTGGTGTGTACTTTCATAGATGTCAACTTTGTCCGCATGAAAACATATTTAAATTAATAAAAAGTTTAGAATCTGGAACTTCAATATGGTAGCATCACTGGCTTATAAGTATTTATATTATATTTATAGTTGCACAAAACCTAAAGTGGATATACCGGTATCCGGGTGTGTTCTAAGGTTAAAATCTATTTGCATATATAGAGTTGTAGGATTTCATCAAAATAAAATTACTGAAATTTAGAGACTCTTAAATCTTACATTTCAATTGAGTTTATCTGAATATTTCCATACTTTTTGTTATTTGATACTAATGATAATATTAGTTTGTACGATAATGACAGCTGCTTTCACTTGTTCATGGGAACCAAGCAAAATATCGGATAGAATTATGAACATTTTTTATAGTTCAAATAAACTTTATTATTTTAGAAATGGTCCGTTTAGTTAAGTGGAAATTTGATTTTATCGGCAACTATTCTTTCCGAAATATTTGGAGTACTTTGCTTTTACTACTACATAACATACAATAGGCACTAAAGCCTATTGGTTTTACACGATCGCCTATAGGTATTACACGATACAATGTCATTACACACACAATAACATTTATTAAGAATGGACGTTTTGGTATTCACTTCCGAATAGTGTAACTTTCGAAGTACTATATTTTGATGTGTTGAAGCTGACGAAGGTAGTCTGGAAGTACGAAAACTGCATGGACTATTTAATAAAGAAAGTAGTGTGAGTATAATATTTGGATGTGCTCTTTTTTTTGTACTTGAACATGACATTTAGACCAATCGATCATTTTTAGTATATTTTTATACGGATTTTAAAAGAATTAAGTAAGTAAAATGGCATATTAATAAAAAAAATTGAAAATAATAAAATTTTGTTGTGATTCACTACTGTTCAAAACACCTCTTATGAATGTTAAAACTAAAATTTAGTAAATCTAGTGTTTATAAAATATTTAAAAAAAATTCGAAATCAGTTTTTTGTTGTAAGAATACCGAACTCCACAAACTATCTTTAAGTAAGGTGCTCATCTCTCTCTCCCTCATCCTCATCTCCCAGTGGAGCATAGGGCTTTATGATTGTAGTGTAATAATTCTGCACTGTTTAGTAAGAATTAAAGCATAACGAAAAAAATTTCAGTGTGGGAAAAATTTTATGAAATGCATCAGTGCCATATAATATCACCCACATATATTGTTTTGTACCATAAATGATTACTAAATATAGTATTTATTACCTCCGGGAAAGTAATCCATTAGTAATTGAATACGTGTTGGTCCAGGCATTGTATTGAAATCCTTGGCATTCATCCATTCCTCGTCAGTTCTAACGGTGTCTTCCATATTGGCTGAAACTACCTTAAGGATTAAAGGATTTTAAAAACTATTTTTTTACGATTTAAATATTATTGGACGAAACAGTTAGATTATAGGATATATTAGGACTAGGTAAGTTGCGTTGGAAAGACCAAAAATACTGAAATGCGGTTTTATATATAATAAAAATTTTTTTCTTAATCTATAATCTAAATTGGTGCAACATAATTCATTATTCACTATTCATGTTAATAGAAACTAAGAATAATGATTAAAAAACAGAGTATTATAAATTACAATTATTCCCAATAACTGTTGCGAACACCTCGGACTTTGAATCTGTATAGATTATAATTTGATTATTGTAGATTAGATTAACCATTAATTATTTAATAAACAATAAAGTGTTTATGATTGCAAATTATGTTATTATTAATATAATAAGTAAAATTAGTAAATATTGTTAAAACATTTATTGAACAGTGTAATAAATTAATTACAGTGATTTGATAATATAACATATTGGAAAATGATATTCATAGATAATGTAATCAGAGTTTAGAAATTGAAAAAATTCGCTGAGTAATAAATTGGACGGCTTAAGATATGAGACGAAATTGAAAGAGATTTCATGTTGAGCATAAAACAAATTACATCAAAGCCTATATGAGGGCTTTATAAAACTATATATATTAAAAAAATATTTATCTTATTTATTAAATTATTTTTCAGAATAAGTATTAAAAAGCTATTAGTAAACTAATGATATTTTTACATTAAAATTATAATTTATATAATTTATATAAATTTAAATTTTAATGATTTAAAAATTAAACCATATATAATAATCAAAATCTACAGAAACAAAACAAAAATATTTACATATGTACATGTGTGTCCACACTGAAATACATATATAGGTGAAACAATTCTTAGTTAAATACAGATCAATCCGTCACAGAAGACGGTAACATATGGAGATATACATAACGATTGATGGATACAAATGTATGACGGTTATTGAAAACATTTCAAACAAATGAGAAAAATAACATAAATAAGCAATTGAGGACACTGTCTTACACAGTGTCCGCATTCGGATATATAGTAAATGTGCGCTCCTGGAGTAACTAATCTTTGTTATTGTTTTTTTCTTTTCTCTCTACCTTAATTTTTAAAACGGGAAATATGGTAATATATTGTCCTTTGTTATTTATTATTTAAATATTAATACTTAAATACTAAAAAATTTCATATAATTGCCACAAAATTTCACAAATCCGTTTTAAAACTGCAACTGATTAGTCACAACGTTTCGTTTCTGTTATTTGTCTGCAAACAGGTAATTTTGTCCATCATTCTGTCTTTGAAGAACAACAAAGTACACATAATAGTCTCATAAAATTTTGCAGATACTACCTGCGCACAGTCCACGGACTATGTGGACGAAGACAATTTTAGCAACTGGATTTTTTTGTCCAATGTACTCGACAAAGTAAAAAGCAATATTATCAGTTGATATATACGATTTGTCAGTGAAGATACCTGTGATAAACTCAAAGATTTTTTTGTTTATCAGGGTTAATAATCGTAGTGAGTATATTTAACATCTGAAGTTTGAAAAATAATGTTAGAATTTTCATTTTAGTTTATCACGTAAATAAATATTAATACTTTTTCTATTTACAATATAATTCTCATCCGATTTAAATTATGATTTCTATAATAAATCAAATCAGAGCCCATATAATTTGCAGTTGATTTATTAATCTTTAATTTGATATATGCTGTATGTTTTTATTCAATAAAATAAAAGATTACTTGATTAGTTTTAAATAATTTTATTTTTAGATATTAAAGTGGAGTGTATCTTCTCTGAGGTTTTTTTTAAGGCATTAACCATTCTTTTAATGAAAACATATTCAATAGAATATTATTATTATTATGGTTTCATAGAAATATTCATTTAAATTATAAAAAACGGGCGCTCACGTTGCCTAATTGTAACTTCGCTCATGCACATTGTTTGACCTTGTGATAGAAAAGAGTGGGAATCGGTTTGATTCTCATACCTGTTGCAAGCGAAGAGCGCCAAACGAAAAACTTCGTTCTTGCAATTTTCGCATTTCCATTAGACGCCAACTTCCTATGCCAGTAAAAAATTTGTTGATTTTATAGTTTCGCATGTTTATAGTTTATTTACGAACAAAAATAAAATAAAGTCAAAAAAAACATTTAACACGAAAGACAATAACAACCAAACGACTGAATGCACAAATCAAGACTAAACTGAACTGCACTGAAACTGCACCGAAACTATTTTTATTATTTGTTTGTTTCCTGTTTAAAAGAAAAGTTCTACCACTGCGTGCTTAAAGCTTTAAAGCTTTTGATGTTTCTTTTCGTTTTTCAGTACTGAAAATACTGAAATATCGTAATATTACGGTCTTGGCGAAAACGCTTGAAAACAAGTTTTCTCAGTTCAATACATAAACCATTAAAAGCTCTCATTGCAATAGCTATGACAGTACTGCTCAAAAATCAATCAGAAAAATACTTAAAGAAAGACCGTATTAATACCATGCAGTCAGATCAATGCATTGAGACCGTATTAAAATTGCAATGAACCACGCGGATATATTACATTGCAGTAAAAAATTAATGCAGTCTATAGTTTTTCAATATGATTTCCTACCATTAAGACTCAACACTACGATGATCTTAACACATTTATCAGTATAATGCAACGATAAACGGTCACATTGGAATACAAGCTATTCCGACGGTACTAATTATATGCCCTTCTAGCACCTCTGCTATTCTTTAAGTCATAGCACCAGGTTGAAAAGTTCAATCACACCTCAAATAAAAGTAAATGTATACAGATATTCTACCTTTCGTAACTCTGGGTTTTAATCATAACTACTACGATATTGTCATTTGGGGGCTTGTTACCAGATTAACACATCTGGCCGAATGCAGCAAGTGATACTTCCAAACAGTACATGTAACATTTCTCGTGCGAAATGGAAGGTAGTACTAAGGCAATAAAGTCTATAAGGGACAGGAAGACACAAATGATATTATGAATATAAATAATTTAAAGCTTATTTGTCACGCTAATCACTTAATGATTTTTTTTTTGTGTGGCAAGGAGGAGTGGAATACCTACACAAGATCCTGTGCCCCGGAAAGTGAGTGTCCGACTCGCACGGACTAAATCACTCCCCCTCATTCCTAGAGACCCTTGGACTACGTTATTATTACTTTGAGGTAGGGTCCATATTAGTCTTTTAAAACTTCCACCAGTGTGATCTGCGTACAGGCGTACAATCGATAGTGTGAAACAAATATCAAAATAATAAGAAAATAATCTCCTTAGAAAATGTTTTTCTAGTACAACGTATTAATATTAATTGAAATAACAATTCTTTCCTCTGTAATGTTCTGGTATATTGCATTCCATGGTTTGTTACAAACATTCTTAATGGAATAATCTTTATATTTACAATATCCTTATGAGATGTATATTTATTTGACGGCTAATATCCATTTACTTTGTATTTATTAATTCTTTAACATTTATTTAAATATACGATCTGTAAACAGTGCAGATTTAAATTGTGCTATTAATTAAATCTCACTCCTTTAATCACACAGTATAAACGTGCTTTACTCCATTTGCACGAAGTTTACGGTCTTCATCCAAGACTGCAATTTTTGAACGAATACGGTCTTTGTTGTCAATAATAATTAGGGTTTTGTCTTAAATTATATCAGGCGTGTATGTCTCAGATAAGTTATTTGGAAAAACATAGAAAGTAAGAAGTATGAGTTCGGTTTAAATACTTGCTTTGCAAGATATGCGAATATGGTTGTCATACTTGCTAAAGTCATGTTCGTAATATATCCTTAAGTGCCAGTTTCATAGTACTAACTTAGGTTTTTAAAGCGACTTAAGTGAACAATTTTGCTAAATTATTCCCATGTAAGTCAATTTTAAGACAGCAAAGAACCACTTATTTATTAAAGAGAAATCTTGCCTTTATGGGTACAACAGCGATATGATCTGGTATTTTGCTTTCTTAATAAATTTTTCAAGGCTTTTCCTTAAATAAGTAAAGAAAAAAACACACAAAACAAACATTTATATTTCTTTTGTATTTTTTTACATTTATTTTAAATATTACATCGAAATTTTATTTACGCAATGGTAAATTATATTCATAATTTTTTAATTTCATAATTTGCTTAGTAAATAGGTAAATAGTAATTCTCATAAGTACATTAAATTTAGAGTAAATAAGTTGTTAATTTAAAAATGAAATCACTTTTTAAATTTAAAATTGCATGCAACTAACGTTAAATAAAAAACAAATTAATTTGTAGAATTTTAAACTCTTGAATTTTTCGTAAAGCAAAAACTGTTTCACTAAAACAATTTTAATTTTAATTTTAATTTAGATATATGATATGTTTTTTTTTATATATTTAATATACATGCTGAGTTTTAAAAACATTTAAAAATTTACACCGAAGAAGATAATTTGTTGAGTCCTTAATTATTTTTAGTTTCAATGTGATATGCATTAAGTTTGTTTAATTTTTAATTTATTTAATTTGTTTACTTTTTTAATGAGAAATTTTAGTTTATAGACGATCACAAGTTTAGGGAAAAATTACAGTAAATATTTAGATATTGTAAATATTTTATAAAGTAGATAAGTTCAAAATTTTAGGTAATTTATAGACACAATATGTACACATTATATGATGCACTAATATACGTAAGTTAAGTTGAAAATCTTTCTTTTACATTTGATATGTATTTGATATGTTTTTTATGTCTTGTTTTTTCTTTTTAAGTAAAAATTTTTAATAATTTTTTTTTTTTTCATTTTTGCATTTGTAGCTAAACTCAGTTTATAAATTTTCTCTTAAAACTAAATTTTCTATTTTTTTAATTTTTATTATTATTTTAATAATAATTCTGTAAATTGTTTTACTTCCTACTTATGTATAATTTATATATTTTGTTTAAATATTTATATTAAATATATTTCGAAACTTTTATAAAAAATAATACAAAATAATATTTCGTTGTTCTAATTTTTCTTCTTATGCTTGATGTTTTTAATAAAATATAAAATATTTTTAATTTATTCTCACGATCATTTACACAAATATTGTATATTTGATTGAACATAAAAATATTATCCATACAAAATATTATAAAATTGGGACTATAACGGTACAAACAATTATTTATGTATATATTTAATAATAATAATATGCATTTTTATTTACATATACAATTTAATTATAATAAAATATTGTATTGGGCACGTAAAATTTCTATTTCCTGTGACAATTTTTGTGTCTAGTCTGGTTTTTAATGAAATTATTTTTGGTGCACTTAGCATAAGTGCACCAGTACTGTATGAAAAACATTGAACAGTACAGTACAGTACAGTACAGTACAGTACAATACAAAAAGAAGTCTATTTAAAAAATGAAATATATTAAAATGGTTTATATTGAATATATATTAAAAAAAAATTAAAAAATAGAAAAAAAATTATGTAATTAATTTTTATAAATAAAACTAAATAATATATTATATTATATATAATTAAATTTAATTAATATAATATTTTTATATATAAACTTTAAATAAAAAAATTATAACATTTATAAAATTGTATTAAAAACAAACTTAAATTTATAACATATAAAAATATTATTTATAATTAAAATTTATTTATATAAATAAAACTAAACAAAATATTATATTATATATAATTAAATTTAATTAATATAATATTTTTATATAGAAACTTTAAATAAAAAAATCATAACATTTATAAAATTATATTAAAAAGAAACTTAAATTTATAAAATTTATTTATATAAATAAAACTAAATAAAATATTATATTATATATAATTAAATTTAATTAATATAATATTATTACATATAAACTTTAAATTAAAAAGTTATAACATTTATAAAATTATATAAGAAACAACTGCAATTTATAACATATTGAATAAATACTCAAGTATAATAAGAAACGTTTTTTTTTTGATTTCTTAATATTATTAAATTAAAAGTAATAATTTAAAATATATTCCATAAATTATAATCACAAGACAAGTTACTAATGTATGAATATTATTGCACTGAAAGCTCTCTTAAGTGGATAAAGACAAAATCAGCCATTCTATTTGTTTTTAAGGAAGTATGAAGATTTTTAAAAGTTAAAAATAGTAATAAAAAATTTAATTAAACAAGATATAATAACGATTTTTTTAATTTAATTAGACCCATTAATTTAAGTTTGATAATAACTTTTTTCTTTAACTAAGTTATCAATCCACTCACTGAGAATGATCGATTTGAAAGCGGCAAATTAATGAAATATTCTTGTTATTAAAAAAATGGAATTCAAGGTTAAAAAGTAAAAAAATACTAGTTCCCGTACAACTAGATATTTTCAAAAGTCCATTAAAAGAACCTCAATAGTGGTCAAGACTTAAAGCATGCATTGGATCATTTTCTTACTTTAGTTTATTGCTTCCTAACATAGGGTATAATGCACTAGGTATGGCCAATTTAATTGTTAATTAACATTATTAATTTTATAACAATATCGACCAGGAGGTTGAGCCATTTACAAACTATACGAACCAGTATAGTAATGTAAAAGAAAGTAAAAGAAAAGGTTTGTTCATCCCAAAGATGACTAATACAGTCTAGTTTTTGTTGTTGGAATAGGTGTATATATTAAAGTAGTGTACTGACTTTCTCAAATGATATTTAGTTTTTAAATCGTTGCTAAAGCTGACCATTTTGATTCATTACTATCACTTTATTGAGATAAAAAGCAATAGTTGCAATTATTGTTGCAACTTTAAGAGATGCAAAGAGCTTCAATGTATTTTGAGAATTGTGTGTAATTTTCACATGAAAATTTTACTGTACATTTTCTTAATGTACAGTACGTTTCACTGTTAGCATCAAAAGTAACTGTATGAGAATTATAATTTTATTGAAATAATATGTTAATACAAATAATATATAATAACATAACATTAATATGAGAAATTATTTTGTTATTTAAATTATTAATTAATACTTTTTATTTCCTGAAGACTTCTGTAGTTTCAACTACAACTCCTCAGACCAGTGTTTATATGTAATTAAATAAAGCAATTAAAATTAAAAATTTATAATTATAATTTTTTTGTACTATTGTATTTAATTAAAACAAATCATATGCAATGTTATTAAATTAT